CTCGCTGGGTGAATGAGTGAAGAAATCAGCCAACTCCTGTTTAGATGGTTCTATCTGAATGTACATGATACGTAGGTCCATAAAACTACCAGCTTCCCAAAGCTGCCATGTACAGAGTGGCAGAATCTCCACCCAGGAAGGCCAGTGCAAAGTCTATCAGGCATTTTACAGCTATGACAGGAAATAGCAATGTCAGCAGCAATGTCATCTTTGGACACTAAGGACAGGAATTCAGTGCCATGAACGGTCAGTTAAACTGTAATTGAAGTGAACTGTTCCCCTGCAAACCATAATGTTCTTTAGCTGCAGCCAAATGGCATTCAAGAAGGGGGGAAAATTTTTTGAAATGTCAAGGAAATTATTTCCAATTTGGTGCTCACAACCAGAGACTCTAATGATCAGTGGAAATGAGAAGCAAACAAATTAGCACTAATGGAAAATGGCTTTTGGAAAAGAGGATTTAATTTATAGTCAACTGATCATGGCATGCAGCAGCATGCAGTAAAAGTCAGCTTCATCAGCTTGATCATAAGAACTGGAGCACACATGGAGTGCCAGAGAAAAATATACGGATGCCATCATGCTTATTGGAGTCTCTCTGTAAGTGGCAGACAATTAAAATAGTCATTACTTTACCTTGGAGAGAAAATGGTCTGAAAAAAATCAAAGCACATGAAATGAAAATCTGCATTAGGAACCTTGGTCCAAATTGGTTTGTTTGTGGCCTTCTCACCTTGGCAAGGTCTTCTGCAAGGGCAACAAACCTACTTTGTCTTCAGCCCAGAGTGGACTCTTTGATTCTAATTTCCTCTCTATCTTCAGAGGTGATTAATAAATCTGGACTCATCCATAAATCATTTCTATAGCAGCCAAATGGTTCTTCTTCATACAGGGAAACTAAAATCACAAAACCTCAGAAACTTCAGCTTCTATACTAAGCTAAAGGCCCTTAGCAACAAGTGAGAGGAGGTATTAAAAATCAATAGGTCAATAGGTCTTGTTTCTAAATAAAATTTCCCGAGGGGTTTTTTTTTTTTAAAATGAATCAAAAGATACATTTCTAAAAGCAAGAAGCCTCCAAGCCATGCATTGCCAGCCTGGCTCACTGTCCCCAGATGGCCTTGGAGACAACAAGGCAGTCACTGTTTCCCTGTTCTGCAGGTTCCACCGGCAGAGTGGGATACAGGCCTGTTCCTTGGGCTCCCATTCCTGACTCCTCACTCTCAGCTCCCCATTTCACACACACACACACACACACACACATACACACACACACAGAAACATTTCCCCCACAGCCAAAGTGGGTGTCCTCACCTTTATTTCCACCTCAGGGGCACATGCACTCCAATTTGTCACTTTCTTCTCATAAAGCCCCTTCTGCTTCCCACTCATACCCTCCTGCCACTCAACACTTCCCTACAGACTCCATCTGCCCCTATCTTTCCCCACATCCATTCTTTCCCTTCATCCTCTCCTCACAGACTTCTTTTCCCCCATCTCTTCCCTGCAGAGCTCTCTGCCTTTATCTTCTCCCTGATCTACCTTCTTTCTCTACTCACAGACCCCACATTTCCTCTCCCCATCCTATCTACCTACCCTCAGTCTCTCCCCAGACTCACCTCTACCATCAACTTCACTCCACAGACCTACCCTCATGCTCTCCCCACAAAACCTAACTCTAGGTCAGTCATACTTTCTATTCGTATTCTCCTTACCCCTTTGGTGCTCTATGCTTCATCTTCCCTAATTATCTGCCCTTCCTTCCCTTCCCAACCTTCTCAATGTGCCCTCAAAAACTCTTGTTTCTGATCAGCAAAGTCTTCCCACCCTCAGCTTCAACACAGTCACTCTGTTCACCTCTAGGTGGCTCTACCCCAGAGGTCCACTTCTACATAGCCCTCTCTTGTGGAGGCTGCTCATACTCTTATACCCAAAGGGTCTCAGGGTTAGGTGGGGGCTATTGTCTCCTCACCAAAGCCCAATCCACTTCCTTATTCCACTTTCTTCTTGTAAAAACACTTGCTACTTTGAGGGTCATGCTATTCTGGCTATATTGACCTCTGCCCTTCCTCATGCTTTTATCTACAGATTCTCGAACAACTTGCTTTATTCATCAAGGACTTCAGTATCTAGCTTGCAAGCATCCCCCTTCCCTCCCCACCTCATACCCAGGAGGATTTTCATGGCTATATCAGCATGCTGACCATCTCCTGTAGTCCACTTCAGCCACCTATTCCCATGACCACATGCTGGACCTTGTCATCACCTGGAACCACTCAAACATCATTACTCCACTTTCTGATCACCACTCTCTAATTCAATTAGTTCCAAGATATGGGTTCTCTGACCTCACTGGGCCCTCTAGTCCATGTACCTTTATGCTCTCTATCCAGTTTAGGTTCTAAGGTCCATCATTTCAACCACTTTCTTGCCAGGATCCTCAAGTTCCTTGTCCTTCCATTGCATCCATCTGGTAAAACCCAAAAGGACCAACTCAACTAACCTCTCTGTACCTACCACTAGGTGGCTGAATGTTGTTGGGGGAAAAATACATATACAACCATGCAGACTGCTGCTGCTACAAATTAATGGTCACCAACCTCAACGGGGCCATCGGAACTGTCCAGAAGTCTGTCTGCTACCTTACTCTTCTCACTTCCATTCTCTACTGCAGCCATTTAAATCTTTCTCTGCACTCTTCTCAAACCTCCTTTTATCCCACTCTAACTGGCTGATATCATGTCCTTATCTCACAGAGAAAATTGAAACTATCAAAAAAGAATTCCCTGAACTTCCTGTCACCAAACCTACTAGTATACTAATCTCAACACACTCTTACTTTCCGTACAGTGCAAGTGTCCCTCCACTTTTCTAAGGGAATTTCAATACCAATGCTTTGGATCGCATACTTTATTCCTTTTTCAGGGGCACCACCCTCAGTTATCTCCTTTCCTCTATAATTTCCCATGTTTTTCTCTTTGCTAGATCCATCCCAACAGCATTTCTCTCACCTGAATAAAACCCTGTGTCTCCTTCCAGTACTGCCTTCTCTCTTTCTTCTCCTAAATAACTTGGAAATTTCTTGGAAATGTATTATACATGCAGTCTTCACTCTTTCACCTTCCCACCCACTTCTCAAGCCACTGTTAGTCTGACCTCTTCCACTGAACCCGTACTTGTAAAGGTCACCAACAACTTCCTTGTTTCTAAATCCAGTGGATTCTTTTCAGACTTCATTTTACTTGATTAGTCATCAGCCGTCAACACTTTCCTCCCTTGGCTTCTAAAACACCACATTCTACTATGGATTTTCTTCTTACCATTTGGGACACTTCATCTCAACTACTTTTATAGGTTCATTCTTCTTTGCCATACCCTCAAATTTGGGTGCTTCTCAGGGGTCTATCCTAGGCCCTCTTCCCTTCTTATTGTATACATACTCCCTAGGTGAGCTCACCAAATCCACTAGTTGCCATCTATAAGGCACTACAGTCTTCCACGTGTCTATCTCCAGTTTAGATTTCTCTTGTGTGAAGACTCTGGACAGGCATATTCAACTGCCTCCTGGACACTTCCACTTGGATGTCCCACTGGCGTCTCAAACTCATCATTCCTAGACCAGAACTAACCCCTTCCTTAAAAACGCTGTTGCTTCTCTGTTCCGTTTGAACAAGCCAAGAATCTAGAAGTCACCCTTCATTTCTCCCACTTCCCCACAGCCAAACAGTCACTTCGTCAGTTCTTTCCAGCTCCTAAGGGTCTAAGAAATCCATCCCCTCCTCTTCATACCCGCTGCCACTCCATCCCTTACCCACTGCCGTCGGTCCATTTTCACAACGACCCTATAGGACAAAGTAGAACTGCCCCATAGGGTTTCCAAGGCTGTAATCTTTACGGAGGCAGACTACCACATCTTTCTCTCACGGAATGGCTGGTAGGTTTGAACCACTGACCTTTCAATTAGCATCAGAGTGCTTAACCACTGTGCCACTAGGGCTCCTTCTCCATGCCTTAGGCCACCATAACCCTTCCCCAATACTGCAACGATTTCTTAACTGGTCTTCCTCCTTCTCCCAATCCACTGATCTGCACCGATCTTTCTAAAACACAAATCTGATCATTACTCCCCTGATTAAAGCCCTGCAGTGACTTCCCACTATCCTCAGGATAGTTTAAGATCTTAGGCTCATAGGTGTAAAATGTATTGGAAAATTTTTACTATCAGTAAGATCTACTATCTACAAGCTCAAAGCTAAGCTTGGCATCAAAGAACCTCCCGGATCTAGGCCTAACTCTTCTTCCAAGGTCACTCTCACACTAGTCTCTTCCCTGGCCAGAAGATACCTCATGCAATTTATGGCACCCATTCTTTGATTTCCTCTCTTTGAGCTCCTGCAAGGAGTTCTTTTCCCTTCAACTCTCCACAAGTCTCTCATGGCCCAGCCTAAAAGCCATCCCTGCGGCCATCTCTAAAATCCTTAGGATCTATTGTTTTGTAGTATTTATCCTTGACACAGAATTAAAGTTGGTTCATGCATGGTATCTCTCCCTCTCATGTTAAGACTTATGGAAATCAGGCCAAAAGCTTAATCTTCACTTAGAGCCCCACGGAATCTTACTTAGCTCAGTGTCTGGTACATAATAACCCGTTGCCATCGAGTCGATTCCAAGTCATAGCGACCCTGTGGGACAGAGTAGAAACGCCCCACAGCGTTTCCAAGGAGCGGCTGATAGATTCAAACTGCCGACCTTTTGGTAGGTGCTCAGTAAATATTTGTTAAATGTGTGGATAAATGCAAGAAAGCTGTACTCAACAGCTTTTTGATGTGTTCAATCAAGACAATACTTTCTCCCCCACCCTCACGAACTGGTCATTCTCTAAAGTCTCAACACTCCTCCCGTCGCCCTCTCTCCCTGCCCCAGCCAAAATATGCCTTGGACCCACTGGGTGGAGGATGGGATGGCACGCGCCTTCTAGGCCGTTTTGTACGTTTTTCTACCTCCAGCCCTGGGAGCTGCGGCTTTGAGCAGGATGGTGAATGTAGCTAGACCACGTAAGTCATAGGGCACTGCTGCCCTCCGGGTAGAATAAAACGCCATTGCGACGAGAGACCCTCCCCATTCCCAGAATACAGCAACTGTCCCTCAGACCCTCTTACCTACACAGGAGGGTGGGGACTCTTCCTTGACCGGCGTCTTGGCTGACCAATACCGGATTCAGGTCAAGCGAGTCAGCCAATGGCTGCGGTCCAGGGAGTCAGAGAGGGGCGGGGCATGGCTGCTAGGGCAGAGCTAGCAGCGGGCCGCGAGACACTCTCAGAGAGACTCGGTGGTTGCTAGGACGGGAGGTCACAGAGCGCGGCTCACGGATTGGGCGGTGCCGGAGGAGGTGGGCAGCGATTGGGCGGTGCCCGGTGGCGCCCGAGTGAGGCGCGGGTGCGGGAGCGGGAGTTCCGGCGGGAGGCCCGCGCTGAGGGCCGGCGTCTTCACCATGGTCTCGGCTGAGCTGGACTACACCATCGAGATCCCGGATCAGCCCTGCCGGAGCCGGGGTATGGAATGAGGGTTGAGTCCCGCCCTGGGGAGGTGACCTAACCAGTCTGTGGGTCGCAGACGCAACTGCGGCTCCGCCTCCTCGCGGCCCCGCCCACTCACGGCTCGCCCCCTCGTAGGGTCCCCCGGTTCTAGACTTCACTGGACTCCATGAGCCACGCCCCTTTGTAAGCCCCGCCCCCAGAATGCTCCCCTGTTCCGAGTTCCGCTGTTTCCCTGAGTCAGGTGCTCGATTGGGGCCCCTTTTCTGTCCGTTCAGTCCAGTGTTCTCAGGGTCCCTCATGATTCCTTTGTCTAGGGTTGGGCTTCCCACTTAGCTTCTCTTCAGCGGTGTGGTTGGGCGGTCCTACCCGTTATTTTCACGACAGGGGTCTTCATGGGTTCTCGGGTCATGCCAGAAGCCTCGGACCCAGACCCTTAGCCCTCCTTCCTCTCCACTCTGCTTGGCAGTGATTAACAGAACAGTCTTTTAACAGTCAAGGTAGAACTCCGTTCAAATCCTGACTCCTCATTTTAAAAGTTAGATGACGTTTGCCTTTGGCAAGCTACCCGCGCTGAATTTCGGTGACTTCATCTGCACAAGGAGGATAATAGTAACCGCCCTCATAGGGTTGTTGGGTGCACAGCTGAGATTATTTTGTGTAAGGTACCTACCATTGGGCCTGTCATGGAGTGAGCTCAGTAATTGGCGTTTAGATTAGCATTATTTTTGCCCCACAGTCATATCATTAAAGATGTGTGAGAGGCCCCACAAAATTGTTAGTTGCTGTAGAGTTGACTCCCACTCATGGCAACCTTATGTATAAACAGAGCTAAACCTTGCTCCTTAACAGTGTTGGTATGTTTGAGCCCATTGTTGGAGCTATTGTGTCAGTCCATCTCATGGAGGACTTATCTTGTTTTCGCTGACTTTCTACTTTACCAAACATGATGTCCTTTTCTAGCGGTTGGTTTTTCCTGATGACATGTCCAAAGTAAGCAAGCCAAAGCCACTGCCCTCACTTCTAAGGAGTGTTCTGGCTGTACTTCCTCCAAGATGTATTCGTTCGTTCTTCTGACAGTTCGCGGTGTATATTCAAAATTCTTTAGCAACACCTCAATTCAAATGCATCAATTCTTCTTCAGCCTTCCTTTTTCATTGTCCAGCCTTTGCATGCATATGAGGCGATTGAAAATACCCTGGTTGGGGCAGGCACACCTTAGTCATCAAAGTGACATCTTTAAAGAAGTCTTTTACAGCAGATTTCATCAGTGCAATACATCCCTCAAAATTAGTAGCCTTTAGGCAGGTCTGGGTTCCTGGCAGTGTGAGTAGGTTTTTGGGCATAGGGAATGGAAAGTTTGGCCCTGACTTGGAATTACGGCAGAGGAACCTTGAAGCACGCATGTGCCTTGGAGCACTTACTTCTTCATCCTAAGCCCAGCACTGCTGTAGCATCATCTTCATGCTTCCAGTCTCACTGCTGGCAGCTCAGCCTCTTATATTGCTACTACAGGGGTCTTCCTAATGCAGAGATGTGATCTTATCACTGCTCTTCCTAAAACTCTTCAGTGGCTCCTTACTGCCCTCAGGATAAAGTTCAGATTCCTTAGCATGGCATTCAAAGTCCTTCATAGTTTAGCAGCCCCTGCTTGCTTCTTTGATCACTGTGTCCTACTGTCCAATTTAAGTTTTATGTTCTGGCAACCCCAGATGGCTTGTGATTCTCCACAGACTTCTTCCTTCTCTGCTTTTGCTCCTGCTGTTTCATCTGGAATGCCCTTTCCCCTCTGCTGCCCCACACTGCCCCCTTGTTTGTCCAGCTCATTATTTAAGGCAGAGCTCAGATGTTGCCTCCTTCAGGACAGGCCCATTCCACAGCATCTTGTGTCCGTTGGTGGGGGTTTAGGAGGGGCGGATAGATAGCTCCTAGGCTTCCACAGAATAGCTGACTCCAGTCCAGCTGCTTTTCCCTAGAGCTGGATCTATTGGCTTAGGCTCTCGGGCTTATAGAAGTAAAAATACTTTTGCAGAGTTTTGACAGATGAGGTCAGTTAATATTGCCCTTGGAGAACCTTTAGCTGCAATAAGCTGGAGCTGCCTTCTGCAAGGCCAGGAGGGCAGAAGTTGTCTTTCAGCCCAGGTGGCAGCCTGGTGGTCCTTGGTTGACATTCTGGCTCTACCTCTTAGTAGCTCTGTGGCTCTGGCAAGTTATTGAACCTCCCTGTGCCTCAGATTCCTCTGCTGTAAATGGGAATAATAATAGTGCCTACCTCACGGGATTGTGAGTGCTAATGAGATAGTGACTGGATATGTGTGCCTGGCATGGAGCTGGTGCTCAGTCCCTTCATTCCCTGCCCCTTGTGGCTCTCCTCACTCCTCCAGGAGGCTGGGTCTTAGAATCAGAAGAAATGTCAGGGGGCAATTTTGTTCTGTATCCTTCTACCAGCCTGAGGGCGTTTGTTGCTGACAGACCCTTTCCTGACAGGAAGCTTGCTTCCAATCATCTTGGTCTGTTGAAGACACCTGGGATTGTTAGAAAGTGCTTCCGTTTCTTGAGCCACAATAGACCTTTCTGTCATTTCCATTCGCAGTTCAGCATTTGCTGTGTCTTGGCCCTTGGTTAGTTATTGATGCCTCAGAAGTGACTCACACGTGGGCTCACATCAGGGAGCTGTGGTCTTGGAGAGGGAGAGGGTTTATAAACAGGTGGTTTCAAAATGATTTGGTAACTGCAGGGCTAGTGGGTTATGGAATTGCAACACAGAGCAAGGTAATCTCTCTTCCTCTTTCTTTAAGAGGACAGCTTCATGCCTTCCTCAAATCTCTTCTCCAAGGGAAACCTCCAGGGCCATCAGCCATTCATCTTCTGATATGGTTCTAATAGTGCTCGTCCTCCTGACTGATCCTTTGGACCTGCTTTTTAGTTCGTCATGCCCTTCCTCTTGCAGTACATGCTCCAAAGCTGAGCTGGAGTTTGTAGGGCCCCTCAGAAGCGAGTAACAGCACTGTGATCACCTGAATCCATTTGCTTCCCATCTGCAGAGAGCTCCCATCCAGGCTAACATAGTTTCATAGGGCATCAGTCTTTAGGGGCCCTAGAGATTGTCTCCCTGTTGCAGTTACTGTTTAATAGTAGAGAAGTGTGTAAGACATTCATATTGGGTTTCTGGAATTGCACTTCCCCCATATTTGAAAATCTAGTTCACAGAGTGAAGCACTGGGCTGTAAGTTGACAGAGAAGTGAGCAGCTTCTGCTGGCATGTCAGTTAGCTGGAAGACAACTGCATCTCTGGGGTCACTGGGCTTTGTGGGTCAGACTTGGCAGCCCAGGATCCTCCTGTTGGGGATTCCACCAGCCAGTATCTGTGGCTGCGTACGCTGAGGGTGGTCTGCCTGGGCCTTTGGTGAAGCCTGTCCCTTGACCTGGTACCCCACCCCACCACACACACTCTTATTCTCTGACCTGAATCCTCCCAAACCTCCATTCTTCAGCTCCCATCTCATTTCCTTGGGGAAGGTTCTCTCCTGGGGCGGGGAGGTGGCTCCCACAGCAGTATATTACCCTGTTGGTGTAGTGCTTTTGACAGTTTCGCCCACTGTTGCTGGGGTTTGGCAGGGATGAAGGGCCTAGTTCATCTGCTGAGCTAAATGGAATTACTTGGCAGCACTGCGGGCCCAAGCTGGCCAGACATCCCTCCTCCCAGCCAGAGAATGGTCAGCCAAATCCCGCCCCAGTTCCCTCTCCAGCTTCCTGGCAGGCGAGCAGGCCTTCTTAAAGGCACCATGTTGCTCTCATGTTCAGTAAACATTTTCACAAATAATTCACAGAATTAATGGGGATGAGGCCCTGGTCCTGGGACACAGAGCTTGCTCTTAGAGTAAAAGGAAGGCCTTAAGAGGGATCACAGAGAGGGGAAGTGACTGGTTTTAGTTCCCCCAGGCTTCAGGGTGAGCCCGCTCTGTTGCTAAGCACAGACTCAGGTCAAAGAAATGTGGACATCCTCTTAACCCTCAGAAAGCTTTCACTGCACCTGGGAAATAGTCCTGAATGGTCTGGACCATCCTATGGGCCCCAGTGGTCTGGGAGGCCCGAGCTGGACCTGAAACTTTGGGAGGGCTGACGGATAGATGGTGAGCAGCGAAAGTGCAGAAGCCAGGGCTCTGAGGGAGGAGGCAGAGTGGTCTCAGGGAGCACGGTCTGGCAGGAGGCTGTGGTGTGCTTTTGGGAGCAAGGAATGAGATGAAAACCTCGAGCTGTTAGGCCAGAGTCCTCAAAAGCCTAGGTGAAGCGTGAAGTGCTTTTTGTTTTCAATTTTTTTATTTAAACAGAAGGCTTTTATTTATTTTTGAACCATGGTCTCTTTTCTTTCACCCATTGGTAGACCTTTTCTAAGTGTCTACTCAGTGCCAGACACTGTGCTAAGTCCTGGATTTGAGATCCAGACCTGGTAGGCACTTTGCAGGCCTCCTTTTCTCTGAGGTCTTTGTGGTACCATGCCCGTCTACGTACCAGGCCCACCAGACTATCCTTTCATTATTTTATTAATCCTCACAACCACCTTGTGAAGTAGGGAATACTCTTATCCCATTTTACAGATGAGGGACAGAAGCTTGTGGGGAAGGTGATGTTTTTGGTCCAAAGTTATTCTAGATTTCAGCTCGAGAACCTCACTCCAAAGCTTGTGCGTGCAAAAGTTTCGTTTGCCGTTAGGTAGTGCTGCCGGAATACAATTCTGTTTCTAGGAAATAATTAAGGACACACACAAAGAAAGGGGTGTCCATCAAAGTATTTTTATAACAGCAACAAATTGGAAACAACATCATGTTCAATAATGGGAGATTGGTCACCAAAAATTATGAAACATTCTGCAGCCACTAAAAATGATGGTGTAGAAATATATAAACTGACAGGGAAAGATGTTCACAATATATTGCTAAATGGAAGAAAGCAGATTGCAAAACAGTATGATTCCAATTTTATTATGTAGATATTCATTTTCTGCATTTTCTACAGTG